GCCTTCCTACCATCAGGCAGATCAACACTTCCCCCAGCTCGGTGTCATCTGCAAACTTACTGAGGGTGCACTCAGTGCCCTCATCAGATCATCAATAAAAGTATCAAACAGGACAGGCCCCAGTACCGACACCTGAGGACCAGCACTCATGACCAGTTGCCAGCTGGGTGTAACTCCATTCACCTCCACTCTCTGGGCCTGGCCCCCCTGCCTGTTCTTTACCCAGCAAAGTGAGAAGGCTTAACCAGAACTGGAGCTGAGCTGTCTGACACTGCATGACATGCTGAGGGCTGGAGATGAGCGAACAAAAGAAGAAGGGCCCAGCATGCAGCACCAGCCACCTCCTGCAGCAGGCAGCCTGAGACACACGGGGTGTAATTTCTGAATATTCAAATTACTGCAAAAGTGCAGCTTCAAAATGCCACAAAGGCTGGATGTGGCTCTGGGCAGCCTGGTCTAGTGGTTGGCGACTCTGCACATATCTGGGGGGGGTTGAAACTAGATGATCTTTGAGGTCCTTTTCAACCCAAGCCATTCTACGATTCCATGATACTATGATCTCCACCACCTGCCCTCTGCAGCTCTTGTCTACAAGGTCACTCGTGTGTGTAACAGCGTGTGGGATGGCCTTTAGCTGCAAACAACTCTGGATCAAAGTACAGTCTACATCTGGTTAATGCATCTCTTTTTTGCCATGGAAGAAGTACAACACAAAGTGGTACAACCAAACAATTAGCGCTGTTTCTTCCCTGGCTTTCTGTAGATGATCTTCAGCAGTCTCTGTGCCTTCTTGGCACATAAAACATGTTAAGGTCTTTTTCAAGACCAGCATATGCCTGTGGGAGAAGATGTGTGGATGGCAGCTGCTTGGCAGCAGCCACCTGATGTGATCCCCAGTACATGCTGTATTCTGCAAAACATTGTGCTGTGCTTTAGTTTCCTGGGGGCTGTTTGTCTGGGGAGGTGAGGCCCCCTGGTATGTCTGCTGAGCAGCAGATGCAGGACTGATTTTCCAAGGATGCCTGCAGGTGAAGGAAGCTGACAGAAAATGGAAAAAACCTCCACTGTTGTAGAAGACATGCACACAGGTATATGTGCATTGTTCCCATATTTACAGGCATATCCCCATGTACATGTGGTATGTGACTGTGTCCTGACCCACTGTCTTTGCCATGCATTCCCTGCATGGGGAAGGGGGAGCCCAGGAGGTCCAGTCGTGTGTGTATACCCAGACTTTCTTTATACTGACATTTAAGTGGTTGCTCTTGCTTCTCTCAGTGGTATGAGACAGCAGCACCTACAGACCTGATGAGTGGACTCCCAAGCACCGAGCTACAGCTCACCACAGCTTTTCCTACCACCAAGCAGGCACAAAGCTCCAGCAGAGACCTGATAGACTCCCACAGTGACATGCTGCTGGGCAGGTCTTGCACCCAGCTCCCAACAGAGCTGAGTCCTGGGGGCCCAGACTGGGCACTGGGACACAGCTGCACCATGGCCACTTGCAGACCTGAGCTGCCATGGGTCTGAGTGCAGTGGGTATGCCACCAATAAGGGGCAGCACCCACACATCACTGCCACAGGAGCTGGCACAACCCTGACCCATGGCTGTGTCTGAAATAAGGGGGCCCAGCTGCCCTGGTCAGCCACAGCTTCCAGCGCTTCATGGCTATCCGAGGAGGTCATAAAAACAGGGACTGAGATCAGACCTCAGAATGGCTTTGTGAGTGGATTTGGATTTACCCTGTTTATTACTCACCCTACTCCTCCAACAGCCCATCTGTCAGGAGAGATGCACACCCTCCTGAACCTGCTCTTGTTCTGCTTTTTTCCCCACCCTTCTCTGATGCACTGCTCACATCGAGCAGAGCAGAGCCCATTAGTATCCCCTATGCCCCTGTGGGACTGGGGCATCAGGTGGGACCCTGCAGAGCATGTGAGCAAAGGAATAGTTTCTCTGCCAGCCAGAGCCCCCTCCTTGTTCTCTGTGTCTGGGCCCTGTGCCACCACATGGCCCCATGGCCACCAGCCTGACAGCAGAGTGCTAACAGAGCCCTAGCACTGCGTGGTGCTGTCTGGTTGTCACTGTGTCCCTGCTCTGCTCTGTGCTGTGGGGTTGAGTGGCAGCACCAGCTATGTATAGGTGCTGGGACTGATGGGCTGCCTGGATGACTACACCAAGAAGAAAACTGTGGGATGAGCTTCTGCAAGATCAAGAAGGTTCTCGAGCTGGATGGCATCAAGGTGACACCACAGGCTGTGCACCTCTTTTTCAAGCAGAATAGCATGGAGCCAGGGACAGCAGTGGCTGATTAAGGTGTAGAACAGCCCTGGTCCATGGAGTCTGGACATGTGGCTGAGACACCCCAGCTGCTGAGCACACAGCTCATGCACTGCCCAGCACAACTCCTGCCATCAGCCAGGACAGCAAGGAGGACATTCAGATTGTCAGGGTGACCTCACTCTGCCAGGGTGGTGAGCAGTCGAGGAGGGCTCACCTGCAGGACCGCCTCCTGGGAGGGGTAAGGCTGGGCCCCCACCCAATTCTGTAGGGCGAGGGCTCCTCGCTCCTCTCCTCTAGGAAGTTTGGGGTTGAGATTTCCTATTGAGGCGTTTCTCTTCTGTCACTTGCAGGTGACAATGGCTCTGTGGGTGCCCCTGCGGCTCCACAGAGCTGCTGACATTAGTGACCACAGCTGCCCCCATAGAGATGCCACCCATCTGGGTGAGGCTGGTTATGCCCCCTGCCAGAAGCCCACTCCTGGTGGTAAAGACAATGCTTGCAGACAGGGCTCTTCAGCAGAAAAAGGCAGGATGCTGGGTGACAAAGCAGGTTCCAGAGGACCTGTTAGCTCCAGCTGGAGAAGGCACTGTGGTGCCTACAGGAGTAGTCCTGCATGGTGCTCTGCTATATCTTGGTCCACACCAGGCTGGGAGAGGCATGGGGGAAGAAAGTGCCAGACCTCTGCCAGCTGCACCTGAGTGATGCACCAGGGCAGGGTGGGGTGCCCCAGGCCCAGCACTACCAGCCAGGTGAGGGCAGGGATCATCCTACTCTGTTCTGCTGCTGTGGCCTCACTTTCATCACAGGGTGCAGGTTGGGTGCCACAACATCAGAAGGGCATAAAGCTATGGGAGATAGTCAAAATGAGGGCTGCAGAGATGGAATGTTCTATGATTCTGTCCTCACTGAAGGAGCAACTGATGATTTTTCGCTTTCACTTCTCTCATGCCTCCTGCTGTTTCAGGTCAAAGATGCCAGCACTCAGACTGCCCTGCCCAGTCTCACAAGCTCATCCCTCTTGAGGTGGAGCAGCACTTCCTGCTACTCCTGACTCCCATGCCATTGCTGAGAAGCTGGATGCTGTACACACGGAGATCCAGGAGCTGAGGCAGGCACTGCACACCGTGCTGGAGAGGCTGTGCCACCTGCAGCACCAGCAGGAATTTCAGCAGCGGCTCCAGCAGGAAATGCTGATGATGCTGCAGCAGCTCAGCTCCACAAGAGCCATGATGCTGTGCTGGCCAACCAGCCCTACATCCATTCAGCAGCATGGCTAAGTCCTCACCCACGGTTCCAGTTCAGGATGGAGCTCCTCTGATCCTTCGTGAAGGCAGGGTGCTCTAGCAGGGCTGCACTGACAGCAGGGTGAACTGGTACCACAGGAGAACAAAATCATGAAGCTAATGCTTCAGAGGCTGTGGCAGCTGCCTAAAGGCTATATGGGTTATCTGCAGAGAAAGTCCAGTGACCCCAACTGTTGGTGCTACAGAGCTGCTGCAGCAGAGGTTTCAGAGGCATGCTGCTCTGAACTCCCTCGCCTGGACAAGAGGGGGTCAGGGAAGGCTGAAAGACTTTCACTTCTGTAGGGCTGTGCATGAACCAAGGAGGTTTCTTTCTGGTCATCACAGCACAAAATTTGCCTGTTTCTTTCAACTCCTTTAGTTTGAGGTAAAAAATTAGAAGTGTAAAAAAATTCAGGCATGTTGTGTATATATGTGTTTGTGTGTGTACACCTGCATATGTACCCACACATGCATATATACACCTGGGATTTTGCAGGTCCTGGAGAAGAGGGAGCTGGACAGCTGGTCTGCCACCTGCAGACACAAACTGGGCCTTGGTGGTGGTGGCTGTGCCACTGTAGCTGTACCTGGGAGCATTAGAAGTCTGCTGCCATCTCTGTGCAGTCGTTCAATTCAATGTTGGTGTAATTTTGGAAACGTCTGAAAAGCAATGGACAAAGTAAAACGAAAGATCAGCTACTCCGCTCTTTGGCAGAAAGCAGGGAATGATTGTTGCATCTCCCCTCCTGTGTTTGGGCACCAGGCTCTCACTCTTCATTTCAGCTTTGCACTTAAAATGAAGAGGCTGGATGAGCAGCCTTCAGTCACTGAGTTTACCATGGTGTCTGGTAGCATTGCGGGGAAAAATGGGCAGAACACCTACACAACTGATTGGCTTTAAACTGCCCTGATTTCTGAAAGAGACTCTCTAAACCTGACAGTATTTTTTGCACTCCCTTGTAAAATACTTCCTGAGTTTTCCATTCCTCAAACGTGATCAAAGAACTTTCCTCTCTTCTAACACTTGCATAGCAGCACCCTAGCCAATGATAAAAGAAGATCACAAAATCTTCATGGAAATAAATCACATGAGTTGGCTAAAAAACCTCTCCACTAACACTGCTTTTGACCACTTGAGTGTTAAGCAGCCTGCTAGAAACGCTAGGGCCACTGAGGAATTGTTTAAAGCTGTGCTGTAATGTGGAAGCTGTCTCCTCTCAAGACTATCCTCAACCATCCTTCACTTCCAGCTCACTCCAAGGAGCAGCCCTTCCACCCATGGTTTTATCAGTGATTACCTTAAGGTCAGTTTCTCACCTTTTGATGAAGTGCAACGCCAGGCCCACCAGCAAGAACGCGAGCAGCAGAGCTCCCACGACAAACAGGGCGATCTCCCAGCTGTGGAGGGAGGCTGGGGATGTGAAGGCAGAGATGGGGTGTTGCAGTCAGGACCCTGCCCAGCACGGAGTGCTAAGAGGGGGCCATCTCCAGCCCCCATTTCAGCCCTCTTCCACCTGCCTGCAAACGCCCTGTGGAACTCTAGCTATGGCTGGCTTCAAGCAGCCAGCATTAGGGCTTCTTGAATGAGGCTACCCCAGCCCCACAGGCAGATGCAGGCACCCAGACTTCCAGGGACACCAAGGTGGCAAGGTGATTGTCCTATCACCCCTTCCAGCAAAGGAGCCAGCCATCGTTACCCCACTCCCAATCACCCATCAGTGTCAGAAGACAGCTTTGTGTAAGCAGCAGCACCAGACGTGTGAGCCGAGCTCTGCTGATGCTGTGTGCTGATCCCTGTGCCCAGCTCTGCTCCCACTCACAACTGCTCTGCGATGACACCGGCGTGCTTCTTTGGGCGATGCACTCGGGGCTGGTTTCCAACACTCTCCCATCCACAGAGAAGCGGTGGGGGCTGGCCAGGAGGTCCTGGCGCCAGCTCTCCATGGACTGCTGCTGCTCTGGCAGTGGAACATGTATCCGACCTGAGATCTTCACCACGGAGTCTACACAGGTCAGGTTCAGCTCTGCAGAGAAGCACCGGCATGCTTTGAGCAGGGGGAGCCCACCTGCTGCACGGGAACACCTTGTTCCTGCTCCAGAAACCACCTCCTCCCCCCATGCTCTCTTCACCACCTTCTGTAGGGCACCACACTTCATAACAAGCAATGTGAGCATGTGATCTGCCTTTTCTTTTTGCAGCGACAAAATGGGCTGGGAGTTGTCCTCTGAATCCAGTAAAATCCTTTGAACTCTGCCTCACAAATTCATGATCTTTACCCATTGTTCAGAACTGTCTGAAATTGTTCAAAGGGACAAAGACGTGTTCATAGAATCATAGAATCATGGAATGACTTGGATTGGAAGGGACCCCAGGGATCATCAAGTTCCAAATCCTCTGCCACAGGCAGGGTAGCTAACCACTAGACCAAGCAATAGATCAGACTGCCCAGGGCCCCATCAAACCTGATGGAAATCAAAAAGTGTTTGAGCAAGGGAGGGCTGACAGCCAGCATGACAGCAAAGCCCTCATTTCCTTCAAGTTCAGCCAATAAATATTTCTTCATACCCTCGAGACGAGATAGGGCTCTAAGACTTCCAGAATTGACTTTTTGCTCCAGGTACTTCAAATAAACATAGGAGCCTGGCTGAGAAGGGGTTGAGAACCAAAGTGCTCTTTGTGGGGTTAGGATATTCAGTTTGTCTCACAGACACCTGAGGGCACCCTTCACAAAGCCCTTCTGAGGCAGCTGTCCTAAATCATATCCAACATGAGCAACTCAGTGGGGAGATCAGAGCTGCCACCCCAGGCTGTCTGGCTCAGAAGCCCTGCACAAGGGACAAGGACATTTCTGAAAGCGTGTGACACCCGTGTTAGGGGTAATGAGGCCCATCTCCATGGGATGGGGCAGGCTCATCCCATCACATACTGGATGAATTCTGCATTCAGAACTGGCCCTTGGACCTGACTTACAGAAGAATGTGTGGCTTCGAGATGCTTTGGCTAACCTGGAGACTGCCATTCCTTGGTCTCTCTAGGCTGTCCTTCCCCTGTAAGCAGCCCACTGTGGACTCTCTCAGCACGAGCAGCCTTTTGGTTGGGTTGATTAGGGACTGGCTGCTGGGCAATGAGCCTCCTGGCCCTCCAGAGTAGCAGGAACACAGCCCTCCCTTTGGTGCCCAGTGGAGTGGCTGAGGGGGGCACACTGCAAACCAGGGAGATGGAGAGGGGCACCAACCTTGCAGGTAGAGCTCGGAGACACCACAGGAGCATTTCTCCTCCAGGGAGCTCACCAAGGCCTTTCTCAAGCTTTCCAGCATCCTCTCACGGTTCAGGATCCACACAGAGCAGTCTGTGGGAAGAGAAGTGGTTGCCTCTTGAGTGCAGCTCAGCCCCAGGGATGGCATCCCCATTGCATTCCTGATGCTGAATGCTCAGCTTCCTGCCTGAGCTCAGGAGTGAAGCTCAGCAGGACGTGGATACAACTCGGTGGGACCTCGAGCAGGAGCTGCAGCCTGCAGGTGTCTCAAATGAAACATGCAGCTGCTTTCACACAAATGTGCACCAAAACCATGAGCAAGACTGCCTTCTTGGGACAGTGGTGTGTTTTCCATCACATCAACAGTGCAGGGAAGGTTTCCTGCCAGCCCCTCACCTCCCACAGGCAGCCATGGCCTGCACCACGCTGCTTCCACATGCTGGTGGGGGCACACAGCTCTGCTTACTGGGTATCAGGAAGCACAGGTCCAGACCCATGGCGAAGGTGCCCTGGGGACAGCTGTTCTGCAGACCAGGGGTAGGCTCCGAGATGGCAAACTGCAGCTCTGTGCTGGCATCACTGGAGGGGCAGCGGCTCAAGGACACAGGCCTGTCCACCAGAAGAGGAGTGTAAGCACATCAGTGCCTCTTACATCTGTCTTTGAGGCTCCAACCAGACATCCCCTCAGTGCTCCCAATCCCTGCACTGCCAGGAGTGACAGACAGCTTTACAGGGCTGTGACAGATGGGTGCAGCTGACCCCATCAGATGGACTGGACTGGGGCTTGGTCACAGTAACCTATTCAATGGGACTGGTTTCTGGAGGAGGTCTTTCAGTACAATGTTTCAGCCAGCCAGAAGCTGGAGATTTTGATTTTCTGAGAAAAGGGCTCTCCTATGGCTGCTCCTGTTCATGTGTGCTCCCAGGGCAGGCTGCCAACACAGAACCTCCATCCGAGCCACTGTGACAGTGGAGCAGAGGACTTGCAAGGATAGTTCTAACTAAAAGAGCTGATTTTGTGGAACGGAGAAATTCTACTAGCACTACTACCAAGAGAAAGTCTCAACCCCATTTCTTGCTAAGCAAAGTTCACCTGGCAGTGAAAGAGATGTCTTACACTGAAGTAGAAACATTTTCCATTGCAATACAGTGCCCACCTATCTGTTTTCCAACAGCCCCACCTGTCATAACCGCAGGGCACAGCATACAGCCTGCCGAGGATGTCCAAGTGTCCTCCCACTGTGCTCGGCCTGCATGTGAACACCACAGCATCCACTAGGTTCTCTGATGTTGCCTTCATGCCTCCAGGAACCAAACTGGTGCTGTACAGAGCAATAGCGCTGATGCCTTCACTAGCAGCAGAGATGTCCTCAAACGTCAACTCTGTCCCACCTAGAAAAGTCAGGGGGATATGTGGGTGAACATCTTGAGTGTGAGCCCACCCCAGGGTGCCCACAGCCTGATTCATGGTGCCCATGCCCACCTCAGTGCCCACACGGTGCCCAGTGCCTGCCCCCACTGTGCCCACTGCCTGCCTCACCGTGCTCACTGCCCAGCAGTAACAGCCCTGATGCCCCAATGCTGCCTCTCAGTGGGATGTTGCGTTGCACTCTGCCCTCCTGGCCCATGAAGACAAGCAGGCTGAGCCCAGCCAGGCTGGCCCCTGGCTGCCCTTCCAGCTCCACGAAATGGACGGTTCCACCGCCCGCCAGGCCCAGCTCATTGATGCGGGTGGCTGTGGATGGTGCAGAGGGGCTGCTGCAGGCATTTTCCTTGAGCGGTGTCATCACAGTCACCTGCAGGACATACAAGAGCTGCTGTCATCTCCATGTGTTTCCCTGGTCAGGCCCAAAGGGTCTACAGCCTTTCTGCTTCCCACCTGCTCCCCCGTGCTGGCCTGACCCCATCAGACATTGGCAGTGCAACAGTACAGCCTTCCCTTATCTGGCTTATGCACTCTGCCAGCATCCTCTCATGGGGCAGAACATTTAGAAAGGAAAAACTGGGACAAATTAAAAATGAATCCTGTCAGCGATCAAGGAAGGTCCTTCATGTGCCAGCCTGCGAGAAACTGGTCTTCAGGGATGTGAAGTGCTGTGCCACACATTACAGAGTGGCACCAAGCAAATGGGGCTGAAGAGGTGGCTCAGGGTAACTGAAGGCTCCAGGATGCTGCCCACAAGCAGGCCCCCAGGTTTTGGGACTGTTGACATGTGAGCTGCCCCGGGGATCTCCTGGTTCTGAAGCATGGGGTGTGGAGCTGTTATCTGGCCAACAAAAGGCACACAGGTGGATCAGAAAGGTGAGGGCAGGTGAGAGCAGCAGCAGCAGCTCGCTGGAGGTGGAATGGCTCAGCAGAATGTCCCACTTTCCCAAATCAGGGACACGCTAAAACAACAACCATTGCTATCTCAGTGACTACAGATGGAGAGCAGACATCTGCCATCAACCCACCTGGAAGCTGCTCTGCAGTCTAGCACTCAGGCTGTGGCAGCGGCTCAGGGACTCATCCTCTGTGCTGTGTGAATCATTTTCATACAGGATGCCCTGCCCTGGCACCAGCACCTTGAGCAGCTGCTCTGCCTTCTCTGGCACTCGGGATGTGTACACCACGGCGTCCACCAGCCCCTTGGCAGTCACAGCCATGTTCAGCACGTAGCGCGTGCTGCTGCTGTAGTAGAGAGCCACAGCATCTGCCCCATTCTGGATGGTGTTGGGGGGCAGCCTGACCATGGGTGCTGGGCGTACAGCACTGCTTCCTACCAGGAAGAAACCCAGACTGTCTGTGCGGTGTCCAGACAGCTCCAGCACCCGGTAGGCCCGTCCTGTTTTGCCATTGTAGAGGACCAACCAGTATCCCTGGAGGTCAAAGGATGTTTGTCCAGTGTAGAAGAGTTCAATGTACTCCGTGTCTTCTCTTCCTCCCGGATTGTCTGGGTTCACCTCATTGATGAGTAGCTTGCCTGCTTGTCTAGAGGGCTCTGCTGTTCCTTTTGGTATCGCTGATGGGGCACCTAGGAAAGCAAAAATGTCATGAACGGAACGTGGGCCTATGCATGGCACCCCGAGCAAAGAACACAGCTTTGCACACTGTTTTGCTGGAGAATGACCAAATTCAGCAGAAGACTGGGGATGTTTGCCCAGCACCCCAACACACACGTTTCTCTTTTTGCACCAACACACAGAGATCTCCACGGGCCTTAGCAGTGTCCATTGGGAACCAGGCTGTGCCAGCCCTACATAAACCTGATACCCCACAGGCGATGGGAGCTGCCCCCCACACCAGCTCATGTTGGTGTCCCCTACACACAGAGGAACTAGAGGAGAGTAAACCAAGAAAACACCTCTCTGGTTTCTCACAGCTTGTTTGTGTATGGACACCAGTAAAATAAAGGACCTGAACCAGGGAGGGTTAGGCCAACATGCTCATCCTCAAACACAGCGTTCCCCAACACACAAGAATGATGACCGGTACCTGGGGTCAAGTCTGGCACAGGAACATCCTTGAAGCAGGAGCTTTCTGCTGTGATATTCCTTTCATCAAAACTCACAGCCCTGGGGCTCTCCAGGAAGGTCTGGAAGGCAAGCAGCAGGCTGCTCAGCTGGGCTTCTGACTTTGCAGTGAGCAGGGTGGTGAACACAAGCCCCTGGTCCTGGCAGGCTGCCTTTAGATCTGCCAAGGCAAGCACAGGTCTGTTTCAGTGTCACCACATCTCTAAAGAGGTACTTCCTCCTGGAAGGGACATGGAGCTCATCAGCTCCTCATCAGCCACCACTGTCCCCTGGTCAGACAGACACAAGAGAAGGTTTGGTGGGGCAGCTTGTATCACCAGTGCAACACTGCAGCTGCCCTGAAGCTCATGTCTGGGACCAGATGACACAGCTCACTGACAGACATCCTAATTCTTTTGGAAGTCTTGCAACCCCAGCAGCAGATAGAATGATCTTTTTGGGGCCTCTAAACATGCTGAGCTGAAAGTACTGTTGCTGACGATGCACATTGCAGTCACGCCGTTTTCTTCATGCATCCACATGTGCTCATCCCATTTGTGCAGTAATCTAGCAGGGATACCAGAAAAGCAGCACAGACCAGTAAGTCCACTCGCATTTCTGCTGCAACATGGCTCAGTCCATATGGATCACAAGGACAGGCAGGCAACAGTCTCCTAGGTGGGATGTTGGTCCTGTTGCCACATCAAGAAAAGGGTAGATGTGGCACTTAGGGACATGGTCAGTGGGCAAGGTGGTGATGGGTTGATGGCTGGACTGGATGATCTTAGTGGTCTTTTCCAACATTTATGATTCTGTGTTTCTATAATCTGTCTGACAGCAAACTCTCAACGTTTGCAAACCACCACTGATGTGTGCTGGCTGCCAGAGCTGCAGATGGAGCACAATGCAGAACAGCACCACACTCTGCCCAGCTCTCAGCACTTTCATGATCAGAACCAAGTTCAGGTTAGCTGAGATCCAAGCCAGGAGGATGCAAACCAGAAAGGAACTCAGGGCTAAAAATCAAAAGCAGATGAGCATTAACCACTGACATCACTCAGTCTCCTCCATTCCTGATTGCCTCACCTTTGAAGTAGGCTGGAAAAACTCCACAACTGCAGGATCTGTCAAGGGCCTGCACCAGAGTCACCAGGATCTCTTCTGACTTTGGGAGCCACTCCTGGCATTCTAGGAAACAAAAAGCTAACTGTTACCCAACAAAAAGCTAAGTGCAACCTCAGGCACAGCTCCAGCTTATTCTGGGACACCTGCAACTCAGCTCCTATTCATCACCTGAAAAGCCCAAAAGGCTCCACTTCACCCCAGGAGTGGGAGTGAAGAGTAGAGAGTTTCAGCCTAGAAAGGGTGGCCACAAATAACAATACAGCAGAGAACAGTCAGATGTCTTGATTGCATTTCCTTTGGTGTACCTACGTGTACCCCAGCATAACCCTGGGTGGATATTCTAGATATCTTGGCCTTGGAGTACATGCTCTGCTCCTTAGGAGGTCCAGCCTACAGAAGCAGAGGTAACCAATACCCACCTGCTACACGAAGGCAGAAGGAAACAGTCTGACTGAAGCGTCTGCTGGGGCAATCATTGAATCTGCCAGGGGTGGGTCTGCTGAGGATATAGGACAAGGAGTCCCGAGTCACCGAGCAGCAGTTGCACTGGCTCATGGACACATCTCCCAGTTGGTGCCTGAAAGAGACAGAGGTGAGAATGAAACAGAACACAACCTGCCAGCCAGCCAGAGACCTGTCTGCTCATCACCCACCACTCACATCTGCCTGCAGCAAAGGGGGAAAATTCTCACCAGAGAGTGAAGTCTTCTCCCTTCTTGGGGTCTGGAGAGACATCCCACCCTCATCAGTACCTCCTTGTCTAAAAAAGGAGCCCAAGACATCCCTAAGCCTTAAAAAGAGAAGAGCATGGGCCACCTTTTATCTTCTGGCAACTCATTTTTTGCCTGATCTGAGCACAAGTAAGTTAGTATAGAGGCACTCATGCTCAGGCTGTGAGCACTGGGAAGGACAGTAGGCAATAGGGAAACTGGAAATGCAACACTTGTGGGTGAAATGATTAGGCAGGAGCCTCAACTCAAAGGAAAGGGGATGAAGCCCCACTATGAGGAGCTGCACAGAACAGGGAAGGCTATAACCTCCTTATGGGACAAGTGCAGGTTTATTTGACAACTGGGAAGGACACGTGCAAAGGAAGGAATAGGAATGTGCTGTGATTAAGTGATGACTCTGCTACAGGAGTGAGTGAACAACACTGGTTCCTGATACAGTTGACTAATGCAATCTCAGGCAGGCTTTTCTCATGCCCACCCAGAAAATCACAGAATCAAACAGAATCACAGGATGGCTTAGATTGGATGGACCTCATCTAGTTCCAACCCCCTGCTGTGGACAGGGCTGCCAACCTCCAGATCAGACTGCACAGGGCCCCATCCAACCTGGCTTGAATGCCTGCAGGGATGGGGCATCCACAACATCTCTGGACAGCCTCTGCCAGTGCCTCGTTGCCCTCTGAGTGAAGCATTTTCCCCTAACATTTCATCTAATTTGCCCCTCTTTTGGTTTAAAGCCATTCCCTCTTGTCCTATCACTATCAGACTGTGGAAAAGGTCAGTTTCCCTCCTGTTCATAAGCTCCGCTCAAGTACTGGAAGGGCCTGAGTGGAGATGCCAAGAACCCACCACCTCGGGTGGGATGTGATGAGACCCAAGGTGCCATCAGCTCTCATTTGCACAGGGCAGCGGGGACCCAGCTGGGGACAGATGTACCCACACCCCCAACATCCCCAGGTGGCCTCAACCTCCTGGCAGTCAGTGCTGCTCTCAGGAGGGCTGAAAACGTGGGCAGGGATGACCCCAGGCAGCAAGGAATGCTGTGACAGCAAACTCTCCTCTCACCACACGCTCCTATAGGCAGGTCTGCCTGGTGTCAAGGTGTCCAGCAGCTCAGGGCTTGGGCCCTCGGTGCTCGTATAGACGAAAGCATCCAGCAGGCCAGCTGTTGTCAGTGCTTTCCCTGGAGCAAAGCTGCTGCTGTTGCCTCTGTAGAGAGCAATGGCATTGGGGCCATCCCTCAGGACAGGATGAGTGGAGTTTTCCGGGAACGCCAAGTCCACTGCACACCAGCAAGGAAAAGAACAAGGACAGCATGTCAGACATACAAGAGTGACACCCCAAAAACCATGCTCCACAAGCCAGGCGTGAGCAATTCCCTTTGTACAGGAAACTAGCATTGCTTCAGATGCAGTAACACAGAAAACAAGCGGGATACTCAGCACCTTTCTGCTCCCTGATATTTCCCACCTTCTCATAGCCCAGATTTCCCTGTTTATGGGCAGCTCCACAGGCTGGAGGTGAGTGGAGGTGCATCCTGAGCAGCACCTGTTCTGCAGTTGCTGCAGACTGTGAAGCTGCTTCAGGCAGGAGCGGGGGAGCAGGAAAACAGGTGCAGATGCTCATTTTTAATTCAAAAAAGATGCCTGCAAAATGAACTCAGATTTAAGGTAGCAGTTATTCTGACAATACACAAAAATATTTTCAAATAGCAGTACTTTGTTCTAGCATTTCACTAACAGTCCTTGTTATTCACATGCTCTACGTATATACACATACTCAGCAAGGGTCCAGGATACCAGCAGACAGAATTAAGGCCACAGTTTGATGGGGTTTCCCTATTTCCTTCCCTGTACATACTGTTCCCTTTCCCCCCAGCCATTTCCCCACCAGCCAGCAAGAACTGCTGAGCACAGCAAGATGCAGCACCCTTCCCTATTGCCCCCCAACCGTCCCCTGATGCAGCTCTGTGATGGCTGGGCACCAACACATCATGGAGCTGCCATCATGAGGACATGCCTCGGTCAGATTGCTGCAGCTTACCCCTCCCTGCACTGAGCTTTGCTGAGCTTTGTGGACTGTCCCATCTGCTGACTCCAGCACGGCCCAGTTCTTCAGCTTTCATGAATTGCAAATGGGAACCAGATCTGTGAGTAACGAACGCACGCTGTGACTCACAAATCGTGAGTCAGAGAATTGCTCAAGGCATCTGCAGAGTCAGCATCCCCAGCTGCAACATCTCCTTTTGAGCACCCAAAATAATGAGATGTTTCCTCCACCTCCTCCTCTGGTGGCCTGGGAGCACTGAGGGGAAGGGACGGGTGGGAACTGTGCTGGCAGAAATTGTGGTGAGAGCACAGCCTCTGCTTCTGAGCAGGGCCCCACACTGGCCATCCTTCCTGATCTTCTCTGAATCTCTCCCATCCTAATATATGCTTTATGAGTTCAGGACATTGTACCACACAAGATACCAGCAAGTAATGGATTTACACAGTAGCATCAAATCACAGAATCACAGAATGGCCAGGGTTGGAAGGGACCTCAAGCATCATGAATTTCCAACCCCCCTGCCACATGCAGGGCCACCAATCTCTCCATTTAATACTAAACCAAGTTGCCCAGGGCCCCATCCAATCTGGCCTTGAACACCTCAAGGGACGGGGCATCCACAGCCTCTCTGGGCAGCCTGAGATATCTCCTTGTTTTTTTTCTCATCTTAATAATTTCCAATATTTTACTTGGTTTATGCAGCTCTTTTTCCTTTCATTAGCTCTTATATCTGTCACTGAGCATCAAGCTGGAATTTTCATGTTCATCCATCAGAATGCCAAACCACCATAAAAAAAGACAGCATCCTCCAATCCCAGACTCAGCAGACAGCTCCCCCAGCTCTGAAGCAGCCAGCAACATGCAGCCCTTACCTGGGATTTTGCTTTGTGCTGGGCCAATCAGGAGAAGCCCATCCAATGAGGTTTTGCCATAAACATCCATAGTGAAATAAATGTCTCTGGTCCGACCATCAATCAGCACCAGGACGACATCCCTCAGCACGGTGGAATGGGGACCCTGAAGCTCGATGAACTCAAAATCTTCAAAAGAAGAGGCAATGTGGACCTCACTGATCAGGACGGCGGATGCGTTCAGCTGAGGAGTGAGGATGCAGTGGTTATCTGTGCCTGGGGTGGGCACGGCCACCTGGAAGAACCACTGAGCGTCTGCCCCATGGCACCTTTCGATTGACTCATCCATAGACCTGAAGGTGGAGTCCTCCAGCAGAGCATCTCTGCCGGGGGTCAGCACCCTGAGCAGCGTATCCGCCCTGTCTGTCTTCTTCGTCTTATGGACCAAGGCATCCACCAGTCCTTTGCCTGTGACGCTCATGCCTTCCTTGTAGTTCCCTTTTCCATAATACACAGCGATCGCGTCAGGGCCATTCTGGATGGTGTTCTTAGGAATAACTATGGCCGGGTTCACAGAGGCAGAGCCAACGAGAAAGAACCCTTGGCTGTTAGTAGCTTTGCCCTGGAGGTTCAGAACTCTGTAGGCTTGGTTTCCGTTGCCATTGTAGAAAACCAGGTAGTAGCCATCCAAACGGGCTGTTTGACCACTGGTGTGATAGAGCTCCACAAACTCAGAAGTGTCCTCTCCTGGGGTGTCAGCATTGACTTCATTAATCAAGAGGGTGTGCTCTGTTTTCTGGTCCCTGGGGTTTTTTATGGGACTCTGGGCAGCAACTTTGGGAAACAAGATGTACATGAGCCCCATCAGTCCAACCAGCCAGATATCTCCCATGGTGATAGCTGGGATTTGCTTCAGCTCCGACCTAGAGGAGAAGGAGATTGTCCTTCTGACAGCCACAACAGCACGGAGGGCCACTGCTGCTGGGCCACTGCAGGGCACCAGGATGAGATCTCTGGATGCAAGAGGCACTTCTCCAGGGAGTGCTGCTTCACAAGGCAAAGCAGCAGTCCCCAAAAAAATCCAAGTGAGAAGAGGATCGTTTGAATAAGGATTTCCCAGCTCAGCTCCTTTAAAAGGCATGGGGTGGGGGCAGGGGAAGGGGGAAGAAAAGACAAAATCTAGTTAGGAAACACAGAAACATAGCAATGCAATTTAATGGCTTAAAAGCCCCACGTGTGGTTATCTCGAATTTTCCCTTCTCTTTCTTCAGAGGTTTGTCAAGATTCACAGCAGCGGCTGAAGTGGGACAAAGCCATCTCAGGCTTCAGAGCCCTGAGCATTTAACACTGATGTCAGCGCTAATAACTTTCTCCATGGGAATTTACACAGAGCGGCACTAGGGACGATGGTCTCTTTTCCCACTCTTAACATCCCCCCGGCAGACTCGGTGCTTCCCAGCATCCAAAGAGATGAAAGCTGAACTCACCTCTCCCCTCAGCCCACTCCCACAGGTGCCCCATTTCCATGTTCTCTCCCCATTTCACTTAAAGGACAGAGAAAGAAGGGAGAGCTCCGACACGAGGATGCACACAGACAGAAGGAAAGCCACAAGAAACCACAGCAAGCAACAAGCAACGCGGAGCCGGACGGACAGCCGGCGGGGCAGCAGAGCCGGCGCAGCTCCCATCAGCTCCGCGGGGCGGCTTTGCCTCGTCCCCGCCGTGCAGCCACGCTGGTGCGGCCATCGCAGGGTGACAGGGACAGAGATGAGGCCGGCTGGCCGTGGGGCCTCGCACAGCCCGCACAACCCCGAGCCGTCCCCGCACTCACCGCCGCTCGCTCCCCGGACGCACCGCCGCCGCCATCGGGGGCAGCAGCGGGAGGCGGGGCGGGGCGGGCTGCGCTGCGGTGCGGAGCGGCCCCGACGGGCGATGCCCCTCTGAACCCGAGTGTCACCTCGGCGGAAAAAACCCGTCCTATAGCTGTGGCAGCCGTTCACGAGCTCCGTGTCCTCGCATACGTGTCCCAGGAGCTCCTTCTCCCAAGGCGAGGGACAGACGGACGGGTGTTTGTCGGCTGTGCGCCTGACTCTCCGCGCTGGGACTCGCAGCTCCACCAGAGCTCTGTGCGTCGCTCCTCGCACGGCTCAGCGTTGGAACCAGGATGTGGAGGGTTCTCGGGCAGTGCCGCGTGGCTGTGCCCAGCCAGCACTGGTGGCTATGGCACAGGGTTCCCGTCGGACCTCCGTGAGCCCCTGCACCCCAGTACCACGTCTGTACCACGAACCTACCAGCACCTGGCGGGAGCACCTAGCGCCTACAGCCCCCCAGGTGGCACTGGGCTCCCACTGCCTGGTGAGGGGCAGCCTGACCCTCCTCCCACCGATCTGGTGCCCTGCTCCCCCAAGCCTGCTGTGGGGCTGCCCAGCCCCCTTCACTGACCTCTCTAATGGTTTGGCCCCGCTGCAGAGCATGGGTTTCTTGGAGCTGCTGGGAATGGGCCAGCCTGCAGAGCATGGGGGGCTCAGAGCTGCTGGGAGGAGTGCTGCTCCTGCTGCCAGCCAGATGTGAGTTCCTGCTGGTGAGTCAGCAGCCTGCTGTTTTCGGATTTTTCCTCCCTCTTGTAACTGGAAACCAGGACTACAGTACGAGGGGGAAGCTCTGCCAGAAGGGCTGCAGTTGTTCTGGGAAGAGGCTGAGCCCAGAGTGCTCCTGGCAGTGCAGGGCAGCCCACAGGCAGTGAGTGCAGCAGGGTGCTGCATCTCATGGCCATTGGAGTGATGGTGTCTGGCACTGGGGCATGCCATGCAGGGATGAGCACTGAGCTGAGCTCTGCAGTGTCAGAGTTGCCCTGGCCTGCAGGCATCGTCATTGACTGTCCTGTGAGCCTGTGTTCTTCCTGACAGGATTTGCTCATTTTCAACATTGAAGACAAAGATGATGAGGGGCACGGAGCACCTCCCTGATGAGGAAAGACTGAGTAAGTTGGATCTGTTTGGACTGGGGAAAAAAAGACTGAGAAGGGATCTGATTCATGTTTACAAATATCTACAGGGAGATGTGAGGCAAATGGATGAGGTTCTTCTCAGTGGTGTGTAGCAATAGGACAAGGAGCAATGGCCTGAAACTTGAACACAGGCAGTTCTGTATCAACATATGGAAGAAAGTCTTTATGGTAAAGGTGATGGAGTGCTGGACCTACTGTAGGAACCTGCTTTAGCAGGGCGGTTGGGCTTGATGAGCTCTTGAGGTCCTTTCCAACCCCTGCCATTCTGTGACTCTGCAGTTCTGTGATTTTTGAAAGCACAGTGTTTATGCAATCACAGGGCTTCTGACCCACAAAGGGTGGTGTAGAATTGTTGGGAGGGGAAAATCCCTTTCCCAAGGGGATTCGACTCAGCCCTTTCTGGCCTGAGGTGGCACAGCCAGGGCTCCTGGTGTCCCATGTGTGGTCCCAGTCTGCTCTGTGTCCCCTCAAACTCCTGAGCACTCCGCTGGTGCTCATGCACACAGAAAGCTCCTGCTGCCCTCCTGGGTCTTTCCCACTGAACCCACAGCTCTGGGGAGGCAAAAAGCATGGTGGGCCCACTGCCAGGACAGGTGGGGCAGGGAGCCCAGGGCAGTGGGGCAGGGCCAGGTTGGGCCTCCTGTTCACGTCCCACTCATGGCTGATGTTCTGGGGCCATTTTGCTGATGCCCACATTCTCTTTGTGTCTATTTTGTGGGGATGTGGGCCAGCAGCCCTGGGCCACATCATGAGGAGGAAAGCTTTCAGCTCTCACTGCCTTGGGGAGGGGGTCCATACCCCAACATCTCAGTGGGGGGGTCCAACCGGGGGCAGAGCAGGCTGCAGCCTTCCAGCGGAGTCCTTTGGTGTTGGAGTGAGCTCAGCTGCTGTCCCTTGGCTGCAGGATGCGCGCCAGCGGGGACTAGCAAGGATGTGCCTGGAGCCAGCATGGGGCTGAGGTGACAGTGGGTGTTCAGCAGTGGGTGGTCACTGCTGCACCACGTCCTGCTGGTGACACGCAGGCACTGTGCCCAGACAGGGCTGTGTGGCCAGCTGGATGTGGCTGAGGTGCCACCAGACACGTGGACTGAGTGGGGAGGAGATGTGGGGAGGTGAAGCACAGAGAGGGGCAGCGAGGCGCAGGTCAGCAGTTCCAGGAGGCAGGAGGCACTAAGAGCTCAGTGTTTATTGGTTTTGCTCTGATGGCTCGTGGTTCGTACAAGGAATGGGCTGACTCTGCTGTGCACACAGACACGTGCTGCTGGAGGCTGCCTTGGGGAGGCTTCCAAGCACCCTGAAACGAGGCCAGCCTGCACCCAGCTGCTGGTGCCTGGATGGCTGTGGGAGTCATGAGGTTGTGGGCCATCCCCAACCTGTGCCAGCAGCCAGCTGTGGTGAGCCGTGCCTGGCCGTGTATGTGCAGAGCAGCACTGATCTGTTGCTGCAACAGAGGCACCTCTGAGCTCCTGCCTGTGTTCACAGGACCTTTCCATTTCACTGCTACTTCTACAGCGCAGGCTGCTGCATGTGCTGCCTCTAAGGCTACTGCTGCAAGCAAGTCTAACACGCACTGCCCTCCTGAAGCTGGAGACCTCTGTGCTGCTTCCAGCAAAGCGCTTTCAGAGCTGCTGGCCTGTCCCTTGTAGGCTGAGAGATGTCAGGCATTTGCTGCTCGGGTGAGGGATTATGTGCCCATCTGAGGGGCCAGGTGAAGTATTCAGGCAGGAGTTCACAGCCCCCAACAAGGACACACTCCCCACCCTTAGGGCTTAGGAAGACTGCGGGGGGAGCTGGGGCAGAGATACAGGAGCTGCAGGCTTTGTGTGCTGTCAAGATCCTGCCTGGAAGGGCAGCACCACACACAGGATGACCCTGGCAGCCACTGTCTGCTTGGATGCTATTTTCAGCACCTCTATGTTGCTCACCTGCAACCATTCTAGATGAAATCCTGAGGAAATCCTCACTACTTATCCACTTCAGCTTCTTTCCTTCCCCCATTGCTGGCTGGAATGGCTGTGAATTGAGAGATCTGTAGAGGTGTTTCTTCTTTTCTTCCTGGCAGACTAAATTGATTGGTACTGTGCGTCCCACATGATATCACAGGGGCTGTAGCACAAGGATGTAAAGTGCTCACAGCAGATGAGAGAGCGCTGCAAGTAGCCTTCAGGGCAGCCTTTACATTGCAAAGAAGGGACTGAAAAGCCGGTGGATGGGGTTTAGTGGGTTAGTAGATGATGGATCAGCACCCAGTGCATTTCTACCTACTGTTTACTCTTCTTCCCCACTGAGCCTCTGTCACTGTCTCACTGTCACTGTCACTGGTCACATCCAACTCCTCTGACTTTCAAGTGCTGCCATATGGGAAAGGGCTTTGGAGAAGGAAAACCCTCCAGTGTCCAGCCCCTGCACTCTCTGGATCCTCTCTCAATTTGCAGATACTGAACTGAAGCAGCAGGCAACAGCTTCTGCCTGGAACCCCCTGATGGAGCTAAGCACTGCCAGCCCCCAGTGTCAGCAGTGTGTGTGCAAACCCCATCTCAGTTCAGCCAGAAGGGTCAAGCCAGGCAGCTGCCAGCTATCGATGTTCTCAGGTTGTTCTGCAGGGTACCTGAAACAGGCACGTACTGCAGTGCCTAACTCAAAAAGAAACTGGCCAGGCCAAATCATTTGGTGCTTCTTGAGATTTCGCCTTCTGTTTTTAGGCATTGCTTTTTTCTCTTGGTGCAGAGTGGTGCCTGCCAACCCCAGCAGCTGTGTGGGATGCTGCCAGTAAATTTCTGATTAGATCAACACTGCAGCTTTACAAACGAGATGGAGTGTTTATTTCTCAAGAAACAGCAAATGTACCTGACCTGGCCTCAGCACAGGGAAAGCTCTTTGCCCTACCTAAAATAGAACTGCAATGTTGAATGTTCCTCCTCCCCTCACCCAGGTATGCCAGAAAGATGCTCTGACCCCACCCCCCCCACCAAACCCCTTGGTTCACTCCAGGTCTCCTCCAGGAAGGCTGCAATGCCGCTAAGTTCTGCAAGCTGCCACCACACACCATGGAAGCCGGAGCTGTTGGGGAACAGAAGGAGAGGGAGTGAGGCTGGACTTAAATTGGTATCCAAAGACAGAGGCTGCAGGAGTGGGAAGCACACAGAGGCTGCAGGAGGAGGAGGAGGAGGAGTAAGCGCTGGTGGACCGTGACCTGGTTAGATGGCAAACCCAGCAAGGTGCTGATGGTGGGCTCTGCTTCCTCCTCTCCCTTCCCTTTCTTTTCCCAGTTTTTTCCCAGCAGCAGACTGCTGAGATCTCCACAAGGGCAGAGGAGGGGCAGTTCCTTTTCCTACACCACGCAGAGCATGTGCACACAGGGCAAACATCAGATGCAAACTTATTTGGGAAACACGATGAAATCAGGACACAATTCAGGTGTTTAAGCACAGGTGTCCAGTTTCAGCAGAGATGCTATGAGGCACCCAAAGCTCTGCAAGGTGTGAGAGCTGTAATTCGGGGCTTACAGAAGATCTGGCCTTCTGGGAATGACAGCAGGAGGCTGGGGAGATCCCAGGGGCAGCTCCGATGGGGCCAGGCACTACTGCTGGGCACCTAAACTGCTCCCCAGGAGCAAACCCCCACTACAGGGCTAGATTCACTTCAAGGCAGATGACAGTAATGGCTATAGAGGTATATTTCCATTTCTGGATTTCTGATCCTCTTGACAAACGGGAGTTTTCACCATCTCTCAGCCCCTTGCTGGGCCCTGGGAGTTCTCTGGGCACTGAGTAAATGCAACTGCAGCTAATTCAGGCAAGCGAGTGGCTTATCCAGGTGGCTCTGCAAAGTTCTGCAGCCAGCAACACCTCTACCAGCTCTGCATTGCTCAGAGAGGCTCAGGCTGTATCCCAGCAGGACCTAGATCTTCTCAAGCTAGTAACAAGGTACGCATGGAAAACACAGAGACTGAGGCAGTGGTGGGGCAACACAGACAGAAAGGAGATGGGATCTCCCTCCATCCTCCACCCCGAAGCATCCAGGCATGGAGGCAATGGCATGCAGGCCAGGAAGAAGCATTGGGACCCCAAGCCTGCTGGGGTTGTTATAGGAAGTGCAGGCTGAGCTCAGGACACCAGCCCAACCCTCCCACCCTGCAGTGCTGCCCAGGGGCTCCCTGGGCATGGACAGAGGAAGTGGGGAGGAGAGGTGGCCTTCTTCAGTGACCGTCTGATTCTCAATCCATGGACACAGGGTTTAACAGGACAGCCAGGTGCAATGACCACAGCAGAGGGTTATTGCAAGCTGTGGCTACC